GGCTTTTGCTTGCTTGATCGGTTCGTGGTCAGGTATGTTGTATACTAATACATTATGTGAGGACATAATCCTTTTATTAACCTCTGTAGCAATGAAATCTAGGACACTTTCTGTTTTTAATAAGGTTTCTGTACTGGCTTCTAGATTAGGCTGACAAAGGTGGAGCAGTGGTAGAACAACTTCAAGCTTAGCGTTCATGTCTTGTAGTTGCTTCTGGAGGGTTATCAAGTCTTCCTTGTTTTTACGCGAAGTGTTATATAGCTCCGGTATGAGATCGACTACCTTAACTTCAGGACCTCTTTTATGGCTTGATGTCGAACCACTTAGTGAACGTGCTCTTTTAGTAAGACACGAGCTATCGGATGTTTGAACTCGGCGTGGCAGACCTTGGTCTGTAGGAGAAATACCCCGTAACGTCTGGGAAGTCCATTCAAAAGAGGTTTACTGGTCATCATATGTAAGATTCCCGAACGCGCGGACACTGAAACTGGTGGACCAATGCACGACGTAAATCGGTAAAGGTAATTAGAAGATTGACCTCAAGTTGATGCCATGGGTGAGGAACTCCATCATCTTCTAAGGCTGATTCACCCCTGAACATCCGTGCCCTCAGGTTGTTTCAAGTAACCTCTGACTCTTCTGACATTCAGAACATTTGTGGAGTTGTGGTGTAGTGAATCCAATGCCCTCTCCGGGAATATCAAGATAAGTGGGGGTAAACCTGGGTGCAGAAGCAGACTGGAAGAGTATTGAAGAATTTGTCGCCGGCCAATCCACCTCAAACGATTGAACGGTTCGGAGATGAACAGGGATTACTATGTACCCTGTCTCAGTTGCAGGGACCATGTGCTGGCTGTCGGACAAGCATTCTCCAGGGGCCCGGATGCGCTTAGTTCTGTTTCATGCATAGCAAAATATTCGCTGGCCGGCCACACAACCGCACTGCCTCAACCTGTCGCTGGGACTCTGGGTCTCCATACTCTCGTTCACTGTGTCTGTATCACTATGTATGGTTTGCGCCCCGAGGCACCTGAGACGAGGTTGTTGGTCGCGTTGGATCATCTCACCACAGCAGTCCTCTGAGAAAGGTGACTGGCGAAGGAAATGAAAGGAAACCAGCTTTCTGGAGAACACAACCTAATTCCGAAGGATAGACACAAGAAACTAGGAAGGGATGTCGCAATCTACATCCACCTTCCGTTGAGAGCTCGTGAGACCTTTGGACCCAGGGACTTATGGCCAACGCTTTGAACGATTTGTTTTAGGCAACCACAACGTAGCAATTAAAAAGGCAGTGGTAGAAGTATGACGCGTTTATTCCAAGCACTCTAGTGGGGAAGTTCAGCGGACAAAGCTTTTCCATTGCATTAAAAGCTACTCATCATTCAATGCAGTCAATAATGAATATCAAGCTTACAACAAATAGAAATTATAACCAAGTTTACTGAGCACTACAAGACCTCTTCCCCCAGTATTATGATTAATGATGTAGCATGGTGCGGCGTTAACTGTCACAGAGAACCTGCCTGGTTGGAGTTCTTTTCGGCCCTCCATGAGCCTGAATAACATTTAGTGGGGACATGACACAACAAACTGGAGGGTCCCTAGATTTTAACTTTCCTTAACTCCTTAACCCTACAAGTCCACCTGCGTTCGCAAGAAAATTCAGGAAATTCAAGTCAAAAACTACTTGACTGGAGATATCTCTCAGAGTACTATTCGGGGATCTGGCGGTAAGATATCTCAAATAGATTATACTCTTACCTACTACTTCTTTGGTACATCTAACGTTAATGTCTATTGTGATTTTTGACAGAGTCATCATGCGTTTGTTTCCTTCAACCTACCTGTGGCTAAATTACCTGCCTCTGATGAACCACTAGCCATGAATGATCGATAAACTGACTGCGAGAAAGCTAGACAGCATCTCAAAAGGCGCATATTGCTTAATTTCGATGACTTTGGACCCGTATAATGGATGGACGTAATCATTCAAACGAAGTACGAGAGCACTCCTCTGATCTCTCTTAAAAGGAAAAAGGGGAGATTTTCCCGGCTTGCGTCAAACAGTCCCAGGCGTAGGCGGAGTTAGCATTTATTTTGGAATCAGTGGATGGTTTCTAATGCCAGGGAAGACTGGAGAAATTGAAAGGATACCCATAACAGGTGGAAAATAAAACTCAGAAGCGACTAGGTAAATCACCGATTTCATCTGCTTGGAGAACTAGGAGTGAATCACGAGGCACTGTATTCCGTGATGAAAATGCCCAGTAAGTTTAGACTTAGCATACAGGACCCTGAACGTCTGGTGATTCACCATGGTGATCGTGAGATAGGTAAGCTGCTGGCACAAGGATTTCAAAATAGTTCCTATTCAAGTGGAAGAAACAATCCCACACCGGGTAAACACTCTTGATGCAGATCAGTTAAGTTAAAGAGAACCGGAGCCGAGTAAAGGCGGGGGAATTTTGAGGTGATTATGTATCAATAAATCCTTAGGAACTGAAGGTGATCACCTAAAAGTATTCAAGGAGTATCCCGGTGCTATAACTATCTCGCCAGCATACCTTCTCAGATGTTCGTTCCTAGAGAGCAGATTACAAACTGTAACAGCGGAAATCCAATAATCTTGGCCTGAACCCGGGAAATAACTTGGCGGTGCCAACTAACGCGAATCTGGTGAGTTCCTGCGTTCTGGTGTGTAGTTTCCGAACTTCCGCGAGTGACGCACAGTCAAAGATCGGATCGAAAATATCAGAACAGGGTTTGTAGTAAACCAGTGGTAGAATCGTAACAAAATCTGTGGTAATATCAAAGTAACAATTAGCTATATCAAAATTACAAAAGTACCTCAACAGTGCTGTTGGGTAACTGTACAGTACAAACGTTCTCGGGGACAGACGGGCACTATACAGCAAAAACTAGTTAAACGAATACAATTGTTAAGTATCTGAGAATCGATAAGAATATTCCCGATAAAAGGGGATCAAGACTCTGTCTACCAGAACCGAATCGGCAAACAAATGTACCCAGTAGACAGTGGAAGGATAAACAGTTAATTCGCAGCGCAACCGTGAGTTGAACCAAAACAAAATGTCGGGGGAAGTAAAACAACGCCACGTTGTAAACAGTCCAGCGTCACACAATAGGAAAGTGAAGCATTCATGATAAGTCTCAATCATACAACGGCAAATGCTGGGTGCAAAGTCAAAGAAGACAGTCGAACAACGAACTAGTAGTGCATCGGCTAGGGTCAAAGTCAGACTATCCATAACGAGGGTAAACGTGTTCAGATAAGTGTCACCACTGGGAATGCGTAACTATCATCCTGGCAGATGAAGGTGGGAACGAACTACTTCCCTCTAATTATAGACTGGCCTCCCTTAACTTTGAATTGCAGAGGTTGTGGAATGTGTGGTAGTGACCCATTCTATGTTATTCTACTAAGGACCGCAGCTCTAATTGGTCGTTAACACTGTTTTTTACCTGAAAGGTGGTGCAATACACATCCGCCGATAACACTAAGTAGCAGAGATTGCTCATTTTCGTCAGGTTCCTTGACTTTTCCATAACTTCGATGGGGTTATTAATGATATATCGCATAGGAGATTTATGGTTATAAAGGCTGCGTGAAATCGTCCAGTTGTATCGGGGATCGCTCAAGCACTCGGTTGCAATCAATTAGAGTAGGTTCCTACTCATCTGACTGGTGTCCGATACCCAGTGGGTACCTAAGGTTTCCATCCTTGGTTCATCACAATTTTTTATTCCTGTTGTTGACTTAGCGGCAACCTTGGTTTCTCTCACACCATTATGTACGAATGATCTGAAAATTTGGGGGGAGGCATAGAGGCCAACGCATGTATTGGAACTCCAGGGGGACCTTTCTAAACTGCCCGTATCCGGTGTGTTGCCACTTAAGCTTTGTGTGGTGTGACTGACATCTGAGGTCATTACTCCTTTCAAAGGGTGTGAAATGGGCAACTCTGAGCGCAACCTTATTTAACCTCTGCGCTAACTGCAAAACTTTCAGTCTGAGCTGCATTTAAAGCTTACTTGACGACATGCTGAGTACCGGCAAAATGTACAGACTATCTATTCATCCCCATCTACAGTAGAGATCACTTGTTGTGCCTTCATATTTGAAGGAGGACATTACCGTTACAGAGCATAGTTCATAAAAGAGCTACGATGAAAGTGATCGAGCTATGGTACAAACCTTATCTCGAGCACTTAGTTGTTCTCAGGCCGTAACTAGTGCAATACTGAGGAATCAGAGGGAATGGGATCATGGTGTGTCGGATCGCCGATAGCCATGCTCATCCCATTTTATTAGTTTCAGGTCTCTAAGAGTAGAACATTAGGGAGTACGTACGATGATCCATACTAACTTGTTCGCCATAAGGTGTAAACTATTGCACCCTCTTCATGAAGTAATTATTACGGCCTCACTCCCCCTATGGTATCAGAAGAAGGTTTGATGCACACTTAGAGTCCTAAGGTACACATAGGTTGTCCTCGAGAAGTCACTTGTTATCATTACAAGCGATGGTTAACAGCACCACCTGTAAAAGCTGCCTAATTCATAACTGACTATCTTCGACTGACTATCTTCGGAGTTTTCGGGACCATTGAAGCAACTGTTACCATTCACATGGAAGAATATATTCTGTTAAGAAAGACGCCAAACTCGAGCAACCGTAGTTCGTTATTTTTAAAACATGAAGTTTAAAATTTGAATGGTCAAAGACTGAAACTCCTTAACCGAACAGGTAATATAACCTTCCTTGTTGAAAGTAAACAAGAATAAACCAGATGTTCACAGAGAAATCTACTGCAAGGACTATCACACGCCAAATCGCACTACAGTGTTCATCACTGAAGACTGGGATTTAACAATTGGATTTCGATAACTAGGATTAAAGTTGTGGCTCGTCGTTCGAATGCACCCGTTATTTTCTAATTGATGGCTGTCTTTAGTATCAGTTAATGGAATAGTCATGGGAAATTGTTTTGGATTTAGAAGTGAAAATTCTTTCCTTCTAGATCAGGAAGTTTATGAAACGCATGATGAACAGGACGAAAGCCCAAGGACAGAGGCAAGTCCACGGTCAATTCCTGTATTTGTAGCTGTTCGCTTAATAGGTTGTCGAGGTGTACTTTCAGTATGGTACTGAATACCACTGGTAGTCTGTGTAAGCGCTTAAACCTGTTGAAAGTTATGCGTTATGAATCATTGAAACCATCTCTCAGAGCAGATGGTATTAACACATTCTCTTAACACGTTCGCAGCTGGATTCGGTCTCAACACCATTGTCAGTGCAAAAAGCTAGTATAAGTTATCTCTCTTATGTCTTATTCACGGCGACCATTTCTGAAGACCCTTCTGTGTTTAGTTTATTCCATGCATTGCGCGTTGAGTCAGGATTATCTACATATAACTTGTTAAACTATCCACTTACTAATAGCCGAAGGTTTTCTGTTTCTACATTTCAATCGTAATGCATTACGGTGATAGAGTGCTGCCCACACTGTTAACTAGCAACTACTGCATTGTCAATATGGCTGGAAGTGGAGGAAAAAGTAGTTGGTTTATAAGCAGTGACAGTTTTCCGCAACGTGCATCTAAAGTCCCTTATGTCCTACTTCACCGTACTGTGCTAAAACTAAGTAGTTACTGTTGCATTACATCAATAGCATCTTTTTCTTATTATTGCATACTGCTAGTTCGTTATATTCCTGTCGTATTGTCTACGCGGGAATCAGTTGGTAAATTCACGAAATTCCGTTAATGGACTACAAGAGTGTTACGATATCTTACTGAATGATCCACTAGTCCAGGAGAAAAGTATGTGTTCACACCGCTAATTTATTTTCTTGAGGAAAATTATGACAGGTCAAGGTGTGCTGGGGAAAGATTCACATTCGTTTGCAGTCTTCTCTCCTTAAACCCTAGAACTGAGCTAAAGGCTATCACTTCTGAATTTTCGGCTTAATTTTCTACCTAGAAAATGATTTTGGGTGAGCGAATGACAGTTTTTTTAAGTGCAGACGTCAACGGAATACATGATTTTTTGAACGCCATGAGTAGCAAACTCGTTTTGTTATTTGTTAGTTCAGATACTTCACAGTGAAGCAGTAATTTGCCCAGTAAATGATGCGTGGTACATTACACACTAATATAATGCCTAAGTTTCACTCTTGTACTGTGTTTAGCACGCACGTCACCTGTTGGTGTCAAGTGATGCTTCAGAACTCGCTTTCCAGTCTATAGTTTAAATGAAGAATAAAGTTGTTGAGTTCCGACAGACAGCTACCACTTGGGCTTGCATATCGCCGTAGTCCAAGGGGCTACACTGGCTGGTTCCATCATGATAAAAACGTCTATTGTAGTGATAAAACTAAAGGCAGTTACAGTGGCTTACGCTATGACTGGGGTTCTGATGGCAAAATCGTATTGCTATTTGGTTGGAATGGCAACATTAGGGAGTTTCCCGTGGATTACCAGTCGCCTATTCTGATGCTTCAAAGACTCATGCATGCTTTTGTGAAGCTTAGTATCTTTAGACGATGAATTTGTCTATCAGTTTTCTACATTGATCTCGAAATTGGAAACATCGATATGCACTCAGCAGTTTTGTACAGACTGATACAGTACGCGATGAGCCATATCTAATGTGTGAAGGCTAATGGTACCATATGGCTCCCCAAACCTCGGTAGGTAGGGCGATATTCAAACGTATGACCCATTTGCGATACACGATAAACAGGGTTCAGAGTTCAAATAGAAACTACAGTCTTAAATATACCCACACCATCAGCGACTTATTTTGATGTGATTCTTGAGAATGCAAACCTACTTGTCAAAAGGACCCCAGTTAGCACAACGGCAGTTGTGTTGGAAGTAGGTGCTGGCTAGAAGTAGATTGTTACTTACAATCGTTATCATATATACCAACATAGGACGAGAGATCACTTCATAACTGTCCAAGTTGCTATACAGAAAACTAACGGGAAAGCATCACGATAAAAGATAAAAAACAAGGAAAGCAGTCAAAGTAGTAAAAGAGGATAAGGACAAAATCAAAGTAGAGCTCCACACAGGTGCATCAGATCAAGTTCCTACAATTCACAGTAGTATACAAACAACGGGTAGATAGAAAGAGAATCAGGTACGAGAAAGTAAAGTAGTATAGGCGAATAAACAGTCTGAAGATAGAGGTTAGTATGAATCTTCAAGCTTTAGGAGTCAAAGAGACGTCTGCGCCACTATGACCGTTTTCTAGCTATCTCACCAATAATCCTCAACCACTGATTCCCATCGTCTCGGGGACCTCAATCAGGCAGTCTGCGTCTCTCCACACTACCCAGACCAACAGCAGGAGACTTCAGCGACTGGTGCCAAGTCTTGGTCTAGCCGCCCCGAACCCTCTTCCAACCTCCCCTAGTATGGCACGTTGACGTGCGTGGTGGCTCGGAATGCGTGGTGTATGTCCAAGCCATCTCAGTTGATCAAGGTCCACAACCTCATCAACTAACTTGTTTTCCCTGCCTAGTATCCATCTGACCACGATACTGCTCACACGGTGGTCCCACCAAACGCAAGCAATGCTATGAAGACATTTATGATCGAAACCCAGTAAGCACTTTAAGCCTTCTACTTTCAACAGCCATACAACAAGACAAAGTGAACTGTAGTGCAGTATACTCACCCTTTAATAGATGGTCGGATATCTCACCACTTGGCGCCACAGATGATGCAAGTTTGCAAATGCCAAACTGGCCCTCTGTATGCGAGCTGAAATTTCGTCAGCAACCACCCATTCGAGCTGATCCAACTCCCCCAAGTAAGTGAAGTGCTCGACACATTCCACCACTTCACTCCCTATCATTAAACTGCGAGTACTTGCAGCAGACCAGTCATGAAGCATCGTCTTACATTTGACAGGTGCGGAACGCGTACCAAACTTACTCAGATTACTGCTCAACGCGTTCACAAGACCCTGCATTTTGTCAGCATCACCTAACAGGACAATATCGTCTTCATACTCCAAGTCAACCAGATGAGCTCCAGAGATTAGGTCGATACCTGTGAAGTCAAACGTAACTTAAGGTTATGTCCATTAGTACGTCTATGATGAAGTTGAATAGAAACGGTGACAGTGGGCATCCCTGGAGGACACTACTAGTTGTCATCAATTCACATGAGAAGTCTCCATAGGCCCTTACACACCTGCGTGAGTTCGAGTAGAAACTTTGATTGGCGTTATGTACTTGCTCGGTACTCCACAGTTAGATGCTGCCACAACACTTCACGGTCGATAGAGTGAAGTGCCGTCACTAATCACCAATCTCCAGCCTGAGTCGTTGAAGACTTCGGGTGGCAAACTGTCAGGTCCAGCCTTTTCAGCCATCTTAACTCCAGGTCGAGTCGGAGGACCGACGTCTACGTCGGATTCAGGTTCATTCTGGATGTTGGACAACTGAGGCATTGCTTGAGGTCAGTTGAACTGTGCTGCAAAGTGTTCTGCCAAATGTTGTAGCTGCCTGTGCTGGGAGGTTATCAGCGCTCCATCCTCTTTGGTGATGGTTTCACTCGCCGTCATTTTCTTGGCGGTATTCTTAATGAGCTGAAATAGTTGCTGCTGAGCTTGGAGGCGAGCGATATCGTCTTGAGTCTGCAACCACTTGTTTGTGTTTTTACACAAGCTATACCCGGGACGTCTGCATACCTTTACATCGCCCAAACCAATGGTCAAAAACTTCATGCAGTAATTTCATATTTTAGTGTGTCAGTCTGTAACCTCTTTCTAGCCTTAACGTACTCCAGCTAACATTGCGCGACGAGGCAGACGGTGACTAGATATGCCTAACATGTATTCCACCCCCCTGAGTCGATGCAGTTTCAGATTTGTTTACTTACTTGGCACTCCTTTTAGTGAGAGACACCGCCGTAAGACTTCTCAATGGACGGAGTCAGATGGAGCTTTCAGGTCAAGAAACACAGTCAGTCTCAGGCGTTGCTAAGTTTGCCTGTAGTATGTAAGCAAATAGAGTGTAAATATCTGGTCGTCACGTCCATAGCCAGGTCTGAATCCTGCGTGGTCTTTCGGATCTGCTTTTCCCAGGTTCCACTTAGCCGTCTAGTGATTATAGAATCTAGAATCTGAGACACTGTCCATCAGGCTGATTCTTTTGTGGTTATCACAAGAAGAAATCTCGCCTTTGTTGAAGACTGGGTCAGTTAGTGATCAGGATCAGTCAGAGGGAATTATATCTGACTCCCATACTCTTGTTATCTTGGTCAATAATTTCCTACCACCATCCTTAAGTACTTCTGGTTCAAGTCCGTCTGGGTGTGCTACTTTCCCTCGTCTCAGGTTACAGCACTCTCGACTCTTGTTAGTGTTGGGTGTCTGATCTCGAGGCTGCATTCAGTATGCAACTGGACAGGCAGCAGAATGGTAGTTGGAGGCCAGTTGAACTGTTCCTCGAAGTGTTCTGCTTGTCATTCCAACCGTCTCTCCTGCGAGTGAATCAGACCCATCACTCTATGTTGTGGTCTCACTAACAACTCACATTTTCACCCCGGTTTCCTTTATACGTCTGAATAACTGTCTTGTGTTACTTATCCCCGTTGCCTTTCTTATCTCTATCCTTCACTGTCCGTCACTATTCGCAGTGATTGCTTAGGTTTTTTGTCAGTTCGCACTTAAATTGCTTACACCCTCATTGTCCTCACAGTCTACAGGGATGCGTTCGCATGCGTTGTTTATTTGGGAAGAAGCTGGTGAGATCCACTAACCTTTGCTAAACGCTCTGAGTTGGCTACGGTCTTCATCACGTAGGTGACGAGATGGTACCGGGCTTCCAGATGAGTGTTGTTGTTTGGCTCGGATAATTGTCTGTCCAGTTTCTCAATGAAAGCGGCCTTAATACTGTCACTGTCGACTTGCACTCGCAAGGGTCCTATTGCTATACTATTTAACCCTCCATTTAAGCGCAGACATTCCCACGCTCAAACTAAGGCGTTATCGCCGTTCAAACACGCAGTCTTCCACCGGCCCTCTCCAGAGATGAGTGATGGCAGTATAGTCTATCTGTGTTTACCGCTCAGTTGAGTTGGATACCACGCCAGACAATGTCTATCTGGCCAGAAATAAATGGTTGTCTGTGCAAAATTATGGCAGGCTATCGCCCCTATCTGTTCTTTCGTTTGAGATCACCAAAATACCACCTGAGTGCATTTCTGCTTGACTTTACATACCCATTTGTGCGTTGAAATCCTCTGCAACAATAAAAACAACGTTAGGAGTGCGACTGTCAGTATAGTGTTAGATAGTTTTTGGTAGAACTCAGTCTTTACATAGACTTCACACTGGGTGTGTAAGTAGAGATTGCAAAGTGATAACAGCAAATCTCATTGTTCTTTTTAGTCCTCATTGCTCTATTCAGGTAAACAGCACATAGGCGACTGTCAACTGGAATCCAGTCAAGCAGTGTACCCTCTGTCTTAGCACTTAATGCTATACCTACACCCGCGAAAACGCCAGTCTGGCGATCGGATCTCCAGAAATTCCAACGGTGAATTTTGCTGTCTCATCATATTGGCTAGCTAAGGTTAAATGAATAACCACACTTGGGGCGTGTATGTGTATCTGACAAACAGCGCATATCTGTGACCTGAGTTGCTAGAGTTTTGGTTAGTGAAGCTTGTTTGCCGGTTTGACAAAGCGTGGAGGCATTAAAAGCTTCAATGTGTATTTTGAAGTGGGATTTCAGATCAGTGGTGCTGATCCTTGAAATCAGATCATTATCAATAGCTTCAGAGCTAAAAGAAATTAAAGATGATATACGACTATTGAACGAGAGGCGAGAAGGAAGATCAGAAGGTAAGGATGTAAGAGGCCGACAGTAGTAACTCGAGGAAACTTGAGTCCTGACAGAGCTGTGAGGGTGGCTGACACTTCCAGGCTTCCCACATCGTGAAAGGCTATTTCTTCATGAGGTAACTAAAAAAGAAGGGTTAGTGCGTGCCCATGGACCACAAGAGACAATTGCTTGGGGTCGGTCACACACGGCTTTTTTGGAGGTTTGAGTTTGTTAGTTTTGAATCGGATAGTGAGCCCATATCACCGAGATCTCGAGGAAACAAGTGTTCCATCACCACATCATGTTGAGTCATTGTGATATCCACGCCAAGGCAGCGGCGATCCGTGGGGTTATTTGCACAAATTTTTGGAAGACAGTCTCCACTATCCGACTAAATAATCCCAATTGATCACCTAAACGCTGTTCTTAGGCTAGACGTCCTAACTGTGCATTCAGGTCCCCGCTTAGCACCATGATGTCTGTCGAGTGCACTTGGTAGAGAAGACTACTCAAATGATGTAGAACTCATCCTTAACTGCATTTGGACTGCAGTCCTTCGAAACAGGTGATGTTGATGATGAAAATACGCCATTTTTATTGCTAGTTGTTTCTCATTTTACTTGCATCTTCTAAGCATTTGTGCAACTTCAGTTCTAGCGCCTAGTGCAACACCAGTACCAACAAAACTGACTACGGATGTCACACGGCCCCCGGATAAGCACGTGGTAAATACTTTTGAGCTGGTAGATGGAGTTATTCGAAACTGCATTGTGATCTTCTGCGCAGGTCTATGAGATAAAGCATACATCTATAACGAGGCTTAACAGAGTTATTGGTAATCCTGTCTGTGGTTTCATCTGCACCAAGGTTCGAACGCTGAACACACTAGGGCTAAATGGTACGCGTGATCTCAATATTTGAGTCTGATATTGGACTGAAGTACAGCTTTGTGGAAGGAACTGCTTAGAGAGTTAAGACACTACAGAGGGATCAGAATTTCAATCAATAGTAAACAGCGTAGTGAACCAAAGATAAAAATGATGATGGGAAAGCAGTGTATTCCATATATAAAGACAATGATAAAATGACAATGACTGAGTATAATTTTTGTGGGAACCTTTTAGCAGTGCATTATAGTATTCATTTGCAATGTTTTGTTTGTGGGTAGTGTGTGGACTGTGATACCGCCTGGATGCACAGATCGAAGCAAATGGTTGTCTTAGGAGATTACTTTCCGAGCCTTCGACGTACAGTTTGATCCACAAGGCAGTAAACCAATTTGTTTTTCTATGGCTACTGGAGACAAAAGTAGGTTCGTATCCCATTTGTCCATTCGTTATTTTGGAACCCATGCGAACCATTGTTCGGAGCCAGGGTTTATCAACCCCCCTGGGTCGACCCTCCATACCCACCTGTCTGGTAATAAGCGCCGGACACTAGCTGTCTCTTTCACATGTTTTTGAAAGCACTCACCACGTGTGGATAGCGATGGACTATTAACGCTTGTCTATATGAAAGCATTTCTAGAGAACAAACAAACTCATCCCATCGGTCATATATTGGGGCGTTTGGGGGTAGCTGTTACGTCCATACTAAAAAAAGCCCTAGGGTTTCCCAGGAAACTGGTGGGGGCAGAACAGAATATGCTTTTTAGGATTAGTGCTTTCTAACTTTTACTTGAGACAAGAGAAGACAGTATCAGCGCGGAAAGCTAGCACCGTCAGGAAATACCTTACTGCGAGCAGTGTGACTGCGTCCTCGGATTGCCCACCATAACGTGAATTATTTGTGCTGCAGCGTTAACTACTTTTCGTTTTACCACTGTCCAACAAATGTTTCCGGTATATACCACAAGGAACCATGCTTCCAGCTAGTGTTGCTCGTGGGTTCTTAAGATAGACCAGCTGAACCACCACGTTTAGGTGTCAGAAAGAAAGAAGTTTGTAGACCAAGTAAATATGGATACTATTAAGATTTAAACGAATAATGCATCCTAACCACTGATAGATCGTAAACCATGCCATCTAGAGTTTCGAACCACATTTTGATTATCTCAGTTGCAACGAAAAAGTCAACATCTTTCTGAAAATTTCATACTATCAAATACTCCATAGATTTAAAGCAACTGGTCCCTTTGATAAATTTAAACAGCGTAATGAGAAGACGAAGATTATTTCAAACATTTCGAACAATCTGATCACACATGGACTTGTCGAACTATTAATGTGAAAATTTACTATTTAGAGGTGATTCATATAGCTTTGTTGTGGGGAAAAGGCTTAGATCGGCCATCTGTAAAACGTATTATGCAGCTAAGGTCATCATTGTAGAGAAGACGAAGTCTATGTTACAGCACAAACCGAAACAACATATAAACGATTACATCACATCCCACTATGTTTATCAATTTACATGTATGTGTGGACGCATATATAGGGAGGAGTAATCGTAATATGCAGTTAAGGAAGGTTGAACATGTACCTAAGTGGCTACAAAAACAAATGACCTCAACAAATCCGATAAGTGCAGGTGACAAAGTACTACATAAAAGTGGTCAGAGCCATCCGTAAATTTAAACCCCCTTTATGTAAACAAAAACAATTCGTACTCACGTTGAACCTACCTTGGTAGTATTGATTTTAATTTTCATACCAAGAGTAAGGTTTTTCTTTTTCTATCCCTTCCTATTCCTATGTTTCCTATTAACTTCATTGATCTTTTTCGTAAATTTTCACATAAATAGTTCGACAAGTCCATGTGTGATCAGGTTGTTCGAAATGTATAGCGCTAATACATCACATGTTTGAAATAATCTTCGTCTTCTCATTACGCTGTTTAAACTTCGTAGATTGTAGACATGTGTTGATGTAGTCACTGATAACGTTTTTTACTCTAATCGTAATGATATGGCGTTTTTCGTACCTTTTTCTTACTTTCCTGATATGAAATGTGTCAATTCGAACCAGTTTTCAATCATTGAAGTCCTATGTTGTTGAAGTGAACTTATTCGATGCCTGCTTACTGATATGATTTCACGGGTAGATTTAGCCACGTACAATAATGTTAAGTATTATTTTTAGCGCTTGTTAACTCAAATTCCTACCCTGTCTAAAAATGCGAAATATTTTGCGTGATGGTTCCTGTTAGCCCCGCAAACCCCTTCAGAAATATCATGGATGTTGTCATCGAAGTTTGCATAACCTTGGTTTTTGAGGATCCCCAAGACCATCATTTTCCTTTTCAGGTTACGCTTCTCATGCGAATAAAAAATATGCATTCATCGATATTTATTCATCTATCTAACTGGGTTAACTGACTTTTTCTATTGTATCTTTCCTAGCATCCAATGCCTACTTATCATATTAGTCCGGGCCTGCCAGTTCTTGCATCCGATTTAACCGAGGAAGAACAAATACAAATTGTCAAACGTATTCACATGCTTCAATTCCTTCCCCTAACTAATTACGTACCAGTAAATAAAGAAAAACTGAGAGAGTAAGAAAATTTATATTTATCAGTTATGGTATTACGTGTGTGTTTAATCGAAACAGAATAATCAAGATGTATATGCGAAATATATATATATATATATATATATATATATATATATATATATATATATATATATATATATATATAGCTCTTATATTCACTGAATTAACTGTCGGCATCTCAGCCAAAAGAGTTGACATGATAAAATGTGTATTGATAATGGACCACTTAGGCTTAGTAATCAATGGAAAGTTGAAAAAAGACAAAATTAAGGTCAGTGGATAAAATATTTGCGTCTTGATGCACATTTCCGGTTCCAACTTTTGTCTTACCAGAGGTAGTCTAGCTGTGGCTCATTGCTCTAACACTCGACCTCCAACTAATGAGTCACGGGTTCGAACCCGCATCACTTACTGAGGTCTGAACAACCAGATAGTTATACTAACCCTGACCAAATGGGTGTGATCCATTGCCTACTGAGGAATATCTTTCCGGATTTCCTCAAAAATGTCTGCCACTTAATAGTCGTAGAAAACATGGCAGTAACCCCCTGCATATGTGCTCCACTAGAAGATGAGAACATGAAGTATTTGGAAGGAGATATCTAAGCATCTTTCTAAATGTGACAACAATCTTCATCCTGGATAAGCCTAGCATGATATTAATTCAGCTGAAGACACAACACTAAAGACTGTTAGTAACATGCGTACATCCAAAGGGCAGCAAACGTCAGAGGATTTCTGAAACATCATCCGAACTGACTAATGCGAGAAAACGTTTTCCAGCTAGCTCTGATCACAATGAAGAACGAAAGCACCTTAAACGTAAATTAATCAAGAGTCTTCGCAATGGTATCTGCAATATGTGATAAGTCATTGCTGTCACACTTGTTAGGTTTGGTTCAATCAACAAAGATTCTGTGATCAGTCTCTTCCTCCACCTAGCTATATTGGATTTTAGAATTATCACCCTATCCCACCCTATAGTTTGATTATGGGGCAGTACATGCATGCATCTCGACTACTCCAACGGTCATGTACATCTAACTTGAGTTGGGATGAAGAAATAAAAGGTGAAAGAAATTGGATCATATTTGTGAATAATTTCCTGAGGGTTATACATATTTTCATGTTGTTAATAGTCGTCCTCTACTGAGTACTCAACAGAATTATTGCCTGTTTGCGGCACCTTTGAAACTGTTTATGTAGCAATGGTTTGCATCCAGCATTCTAATTATGCTAAAAGCTCATATTACCGCCTTGTGATATCTAAGGCGAGAAGAGCACTGATTAAAATGCAACCGATACCACGTTTGGAACTTATTGCAACAGCTTTGTCGGACTACTTCAGCTGTCAAATGCAGATAGAGTTACAAGCTGGTTTTCCGGAGGTTATATTGTGAGTAGATACTAAATCGTATTAGATGGCATTAATAATGGCAGTTGTTGACTCAAGACTTTTCTTGGTTGACAGAGTATTATTCATCCACGGCCTTCGTATCCCAAGAAGTGATGCCTTTAATCGAGGGTCTTAAAATATACTGTCAGCGTTCTGTATTGTTGAGTGGCCCTAAAGCAAACTGGTTGATCTGATCCCCATCCAGACAAATAGATAATGTAAATTGAAACAAGACATATAAGCGAACAACATTGTTTTCAATTAGATCCTCTTCAGGCTTTACTCTAATACAAATGGCTTAATATATATATTAAGCTATTTGTATTAGAATAAAGCTTGAAGAGGATCTAATTGAAAACAATATTGTTCCCTTATATGTCTTGTTCTAATTTACATAATGGGAATTTTTAAAACATGGGATTTGGCATTACTACACAGCAGTCCAGGTTACCACAGTTGATATCACCACAAGTGGGAATGGACTTGGATGAAAGAGAAAGAAATAAAGAAGAAAGCAGCCTAAAGTGGTAGAAAGTCATCAAAAGAGGAATAAGAGAAAACTGGAATTCAGTATGACGATTAAGATGAAGATACTATGTGAGTACAACTGCAGCATTGAGATAGATTCTCAGTGACATCACCTAGTTTCCGACCACTGGTTTCTAATTTCACACGAACCCAAACTGGGAAGTCTACATTTTCCTATACGGCATAGATCAACACTCGGAGACTTCATACAATGATACCATGTTTTAGTCTGGCAACTTGTAACCCTTATCCAACCGGAAGCATATTGCTGTGAGTCTCAGGGATCACAGGGTAGAATAAAGGGTAGATGATTCCCAGATATACTACTGTAGTATGTGTTCACCAATTAATCCTGGCGATTTGTTTGTTTGGGGTGTAGAGTTAGTCACTCGACTGATATGAGGCGTAGCAACTTGAACTGTTACACACTAATGTCAAGTCTCATCTTGATATTGTCTAGGTGTGCTACTATACGGGAAAAGAGACTAATATTCTTCTGGTGAAAGGTCTTGTCTCAAAACAAATGTCATCAAGCATTCATGTTTTTCAATGAATCCCGCCCTACCTGCTGAGGTCTGGTCAACCAAGTAGTATCATTAACCTTCAGACAATAGTTTGGCTCATTACCTACTGTACGCATGTGCACAAGGTTGCTGAGGGGATTTCAATTCTAATTTTTCGTTTTATGAATACTGTTCCTTCATTAATCTTAAAGTAGAGATAAGAACTGACTAAAAGTTACCGTGTTGCTAAGAGGTTGAGATGGTGAGATACGTAAAATGTTCATTTATCGAAAACTCAGTAGAGGTAAATACAAATCGATGAACAGTTTTATCTTATAACTTCTGCTTAGCTGTGAGCATACATTTCCCGAAGGTTTGTTTGCCGTTGTCTACAAAATACAACAGAATCTTTCAAAGGGTTTAAACAAACGTTCACTTTGCCTTGCTGAAACTTTGGTAATCGAAAAATAGAAATCAAATTTGTTTTCCATAACTAACTTCTCCACTCACTATCCTTACCCACTTTTTAATTTTTAAACTTCCCTGTTCTTAAGACTCGACTAACGTTTTTTGGTTTTGTTACGTATTTTTTCTAGCCTGGTCATTCTTTCCCTACTGACAAGTGAATTACGTATTTTGAGGAAGTTTAAATTATTTATTTACTGGATAAAATTTTTCATGATATGGAATATAATAATATCAGTGGTGAAGAAATAGATTGATAACAGTAGAGTCCAATGGGTCTGTGGCTCATTGATTGTAGGCTATCACCTTTCAACCGGCTGGTCGCGGGTTCAAATCTCGCCCCACCTACTAGGTTTGAGTAGTCAGGTAATACCTCTAGCCGTCACACAATAGATATGGCTCGTTGTCTACTGCAGGAGTGTGTACGTGAATCCCGAGTTCTATTGCGATTTGCATATTAGATGTGACTGGCTGTTGATTTCTAGATGACCATCCTCCGATGTGTTTTTATCTGTTTTCATGTAAGTTGTCTTTGGTCATTCTTTTTTCTGCCGAGAAAACACCTACTTTCGGTAGCTCCTGTGGAGAGATGGATCGATTTTGTTACACTGAAGGGTTGAATATTATCACCAATAAGTAATCTTTACACCTAAGTTTTGATTGCTAGAAGTAAAGAGGAGGCATTTGTAGTTAAGTTATTGCTTGAACATATGTCACTTTTAGCAATGAAGCAAATATCCTGTCTACACGGCTATACATTGATGGTATACCCCTCAACAGCCCTATTCTATTCTTGTACAGGGTTTTCTCAGGTAAACAAAACAAGAAGAAAGGCTACAGGTACTTAATCATAATTGTCTTCAGCGGATTTCTGATGTGTATTGAAGTCACCCAATGAGCTGTGCTATTTTGATGAGGCTCAAAGCTTCGACCTAAAGGGTTGGATTCCTGGATGACATCATTATCTTTCTGTGACGTCGTAGACTGTGATCTTTCTGATTCAATTAAAATGGTTCTGTACAAATCACTTTTTTCTGCTTTCTGCTCATTTATGCTTTCATTTATTAATAGTTTTCTTCACTTCGATCATCTGTTGGTCTGATCTAATCTTCACAGGTGTTTCTATGCCTTAAAGTATTACAGTTTGAATCACTATTGTTCACAGTTAGTTTTACTGTGTTCAGTGTTCAACACATTTTTTATTGACACTTGGAGGATGATTGAAGGTCAAATGATAGTCACACATATTTTGCTTGAAGTATGTTTATACATTTAAGGGTGATCAATGTGTGTACAAGAATAATACTCACCTCTTCATAAGGTTCGGTTCTCGACCCTGAAGTATATGACTCACTTATTAGTGCATTCCTAATTGCATGTTGTTTATTGTGCTATAGGTTTTATTTTAACCACTTGTTTTGAACTCTGAAAGTTAGGGTCTAAGATGAACATCACATCTAAATCATCCAGCATGAAGTATTTGGTACAACCAAGAACAACATGTTGATCAACAGCTTTCCGTATTTGATACGATTTTCAAGGTGAACATCAAATCAGTTGTTATTGTTTGGAGATAGTATTTTTCAACCAACCGATGGAACTATAGTCGTATACCAGCGGGTCCAATATTTTTGGTCTTGTCTATTCATTTCAGGTTATCACTATGTTTTAGAGAAAAGTAAAAAGACTAAAAGGAACTATGACCCAAAAGTTCTCGATGAACTCCATGATACTACTGGATCTGACAACAATTGTCAGCATTAATCCTGTCCCAGTACGGAGTGGTAGCAAGCGAATCCTGACTTTAAATGGCTGTATTAAAACATGTGGTGCAAGATGCACTATTCGTTTCAATATTTCATGAATTAAGCCTTCAAAACAAATAAACGCCTTGTTGTGAGACGGCGCTGATACTTGATAACGTTTCACAATATCACTTTCAACACATAATGTTCGATGACCTAGAGTTTGGAGGTGAGAAACCTCTCAGTGTGGTCAGTATACATGTGACTATTCAGTGTTTCTGTTGTTACTTTCTGTTTTGGTGTGAATTATGGCAACCTGAATGGCCTCACAGATATGTATGTTAGGTTAGGTTTGCCTGATTTTTACTCGTATTGATTTCTCGCATATGCTTTGTTCTTTTCGCATCTAACCATTTAATGAGTAGGCGTACTTTGTTCCAAGTCCTGTATTATTTTTGTATCGTTTTGGAATGTGAACACTGATCAGGTGTGCTTTCATTGGATGACTCCATCACGTTGGGAATCAACTAGCTGTTTATCTGCTCCAGTTTTATCGATGTGTTGATTTTGTTGGAATTTACAACGCGGCTGCATGACTGCATCCTTGATATGCTAGTTTATTCCGGCGCTTCTTTGAAGCAGTCAAGGTCTTCTATCTGGTAAGGGAGATTTTTAACAAATTTCCACTATGGTAGTGGTGGTGAGTTAGTTACTTCTAGTTCATCGTTATTTCTACTTTTATCCTGTACGTTTCATGATTAACGTGCATGAATGTATGTGATAACTGATCTAGGACATTTGTTCTTCCTGATAAACACTTATCATTATTTGTTACTGCATCCAAGGTTTCCATGAATTTGCTCTATGTATGACATTGTGAACTGTTTTATGGTAATCTGTATGTTGGGTAGCCTAACCACCGCAACATTGCAAAGCGTTTACTAGCAAAAAGTGACAGTTAAACCTCACTCAATATAATTTGAGTTCATTGGTCAGTCTCTTAGCTTACTGTCAATTATGATAATAGAATTATCTATCAGTTGTACAAATTAATATGTTATCCAGGTGCAGTATCATATCCCGCTTGATTACGACTTCAATATTGTCCAATCTGTTTCAACTACGGTATCTTTTTCTATACCACTATACTTGTCTATGCCTTAATCTTGTTAGCAAATTTAAGACATTTAGAAAAATCCTACAAAACATGGTGGTGATAGAATCTAAAACGCGCACTTCGTCTTATTTTCAAACTCATTAGTTGGTTATGTATACACCTATATGTTTGTAGAAAGACAAGGAGATCAAAGTAGAACATTGCATCGATTCAGTTTGCCATATGTCATAACAGCACATCCAAAAGAAGTAAATAGAAAATAAGTATAAAAAAGTTATAAGAAAGAGGTTACGGTGAAGTTGTTCAAAATATCGAAGATGACAACGCGTGTGTATATACATCTGCTTCGTCGTGGTGGATCTCGAGCCATATCACTGAGACTCTCCAGCTATTGGTTACTATCATCTCGTCGTAGTGTAGGACTCCACAAACCTCTGGACTGGATATACTTGATTAGTTAGATTGCTTTGTCCACGACTGTGCAAAAGGCTTGTATTTGTGTTACCTACGGCCATTAAGTCTTATATCTAATGCAAATCACTAGTTTCAATCTATACACATTCAGTATGACTTCTGTCGGGGAACTTTTTCGTGCTATTGAACAAATGGCACCTTCCTCCATTTGTTTAACATCAAGCAAAGGCATCTGGATTAAGGAGATTTTACTTCGATTGAAGGATTTGAACATTTTTACAACTTAGTCTTTTACACAGAATCATATATTGGAATAGAATCCCATAAGAAAATAGCATCCTTCACAGTAGCTAACATAGGTGATACATGAAAGGTGTAAAATAGTGCAAAAAGAGAAATTTAATTTCCGCCAGGTAGATTTTTATAAAATATCAACAACAACAAGAATGAAGACCATAGGTATGATCACATCAGGTTTACTAGTGTACTTCTGTTTTTCATGAAAAGATCGTTCAAATTTTTATTATTTACATTAGTGTGTCATTTTTTTCCTTATGTAAATGTTTATTGTACTTTGTTGATTTTAATGTTTTTTTCCTAGGTGTATTATATGTATGAATGACTTGAAATTAGGTGATGAAGTACGCTATCTACCTTGTTTACACACATACCATCGTGTATGCATTGATGAATGGTTGATGCGTTCATTCAGTTGTCCCACATGTTTATTAAACTTGGAACCGGATACTTCAACAACAACAGCTGCTGTTGTAACAGCAAGAGCACAATCAATACCTGTAACAGAAAGTCTTCATCCTCCACCGTCAGTGGTACAAACTTCAATACCAGAAGGTGTTTCTAACTTGATTACTTCTTCTGCACCTGGAAGTCATGCTACAGAGCAGACATCGATGAATGAATCACATTTGAATGTTAATTGAAGCGGTTTATGTCTATCAGTACAATATATACAGCCTTCTGTGATACATGAGGATTATGTTGATGATGAAGAAGAAATAGCTACTTGGGACCTGTCTGTTCATTTTTTATAATTTGTCTTCCATATATGTTCATCTTAAGTGTTTCTATCCTACATAATAATGACGAGAAAAATCATCAAGTCTAGTGCCCAACTAATCAGTCAATCAGTCAATCACTTTTCTCTAATACTTCTCATACTACTACTGCACCTGTTGTTGATTTCAGTATCAATAGTGTGTGTGTGTTGTTTGCATAATAATATACACAGGTTCTTGAAACAATTAGTCCCTTTTATGAATCTGGATAATGTGATTAGAAGACGTAGATTATCTGAAAAATGTGATATATTTGCGCCATACATTTTGAACAATCTGATCACACATTTAATTGTTAAGGCATTATATATGTTCGAAATGTATAGCGCAATTCATTACATTTTCCAGATAATCTACATCTTCTAATTACATTATCCAAATATACAGGTTCTCTTATTTGTGCTTACTGTTCACCATGAATACTTATTTCTTCTCTTGAGGTGTTAATTTTCATGCGTTTGTATGTGAGCGCGGATTTCTTCGTGTTCTTTTCAATGCCCCATCCTACTACTCTCTTATTCCTGATGAAGTAATATCTATTCTATGAGGCGTAAAAAAACTCACCTTTTAATTGACAAGGAAATGATGTTTCATCGACGTTTTTTCTCATTTGTCATCGTTTCCATACCTGAAGTTTTCTACATGTTGTGATTGTGATTAGCGTAGTTCTTTATTTATTCAATCTTTCCTCGTTTTTCTTTGTGTTCTAAGATAGACACTGTTTTTCTGTTTCAAGTCTTGTTTACTTGCCTACGTGCTTATCTACGTATTTACTCAATTTATGTGGTTGCATCCCTCGGGAACTTAAAACTCAACTATTCATTTTGTCTAATCTTAAACTGTGAGTCCCCAAATTTGCCTAATCATCGGTTTCCTGTTTTACAAAAAAATGTTTTTGCGTGTACAGGTTCGCGTTTCATCTTCTATGTGCTTGAGGTTAGCCAGAATTATTATTCTCTTGTTTACTATCAATCCCTGTGATAATTGTTCTGCTTACGGATCGGCTTTATTTTCCCTGTTTCTCTGGTAAAGCCTAAAAATAATATCCAGAATTGTGTGTGTCTGTGGAATACTTCACCGCTTTACTAGGACGACAAAGCAAGCGCCTTGAAAAAACCCGTTTGTATCAGGCGAATTTTCATTTAGTTTACATACTGCCGAATCAAAGAATGATTTTAGTTTCATCGCTGTATACTGAAAGGGAAAAGAAACCGTCCTCTGTCTCTATAGCATATATAAACTGCTTCAAACATGCTTTTTAAACTGTTGTCAGAAGTACTGTTTTCGTTCTAATTCGAGGGCATTTAAAAATCCGACTTTTGTCTGTTTGTATGTGAGAACTTGTTTTGTTGGTTTTCATGAATCATCGTTTCAAGCTCTGCTTTTACTCAATCAACTTTTTGTATGATAAATAATCAAAAAGGGGGTTTAGGTTTTTTGGGTGTTATTTTACCGATTTCTTTTCTGTTTTGAAGGATGAACTGCAGTCCTCCCTTCTGCGTTCTATCCCCACCTATTCTTTGTATACTAATGTGAAGTGTGGCAACTTGAACCGATGCACATGCGTGCGAGGTTCTGCGTTGATTCTGTCTTTCTTCAGCTTGCAAGAGGACGGCGATAATGATCTCTCAAACGCTGAACATATTTTATCTCACCTGTTTGTTTTAAATTTGTACACATGGAGTTTCAACTGATGAATGAATGACTATAATATAAAGTGGAGGTTGCTTTTGTTATTTTTGATTTTAGTCAACTTAGAATGGTCTGTTTTTTCCCTTGCTCCGTTGATTTCTTTCTGACTACTGTATAGACTTGTTATTTTTGAGAATATGATATATTTACGTGTATGTGTACATAATGTCTTCGTGTGTGTTTGCAGGTATGGCGGATTTATTACCCCTTTTGTTATGCTTATTGCTTGTTTTGCATCATACATTATTTGACCAGATTCGCGAATGCCGTATACGTTGCATTCTATGTTAACTGGAAGAGATTCTTTATTAGAGTTGGAGTAATCGAGTAACATTGTCCTCTAAGAATGGAATTCCGGCGAAAACTGAGGATGAAGCGAAGTATGTTTTCCTAGTGCATTGACTAAGATACTGATGTAAAATGAGGCCATCTGGATATCAATAAGAGTCGTTTACAAGTGGGTGCAGTGTCATTTACACCTTCGATCGTATGAGGCCATACTTCCTCATTAGTCTGGATTTATGAGTGCTATGAAACTAAGGAGCGAAGTGGATTGATTCACTAATCAGTTCATTTATCCCGTCCATCACACCTACTTTTCTAGTCTATTGGCGGATGAAATATTTGCAGTGCATAAAGTGGTCGGTCGATTTATATTTCTATATTTTGTATCAGGAGAGTACATACCAATCCCCTTAATGACAAAATGTTTCCGTACTGCAGGGTGTTTGCAGTCTCCACCAGGGAAGTCGTATTTGCAACTTGTATATTGAACAGATGTTTTGACGTTGGTGAAAAGGTTAACACTGATGCGTTTTGCTTAACACTAGGTCAGTATAAAAATGTCCATCTTGGGAACTCAGATGACTATAATTTCGAACCATTTATTTGCATGGGTTGTAGGATTGTGTACAGATGAAGGCTTGCTAAACCGGTTTCATTCGTCTGTTGATCAAGCTACTACCAATGAATCTATGTACCAGTGTACAGCTATTCACCGGAAGCTAATTCAGAGGAAACATTTATTCACTAATCCACCTTCTAAAATAGTGTAACACACCTAACTTTGGTTTGCTTTTTCGGTAAATAAGATTTTGGAATCTACTGATTGGTTTAGTACGCTCATTTTAACAGCATCTCGACTCTGGTACTAGTCAATGATCAAGAATTCTGACTACTAATAATTAATGATTGTTATTGTCTAGCAGTAGGATTCAGGACGCGCTTTCCGTCCTACTTAGAACTCGTCAGCTAGGTGTACCTGGATCCCAACGAGCGATGTTGTTCGCACGAGGACTCGAACGCGGGACGGATCACTTCAAACGCCAGAGCATTATCCACTAGGCTACCGAGTCAGGACAGGCACTTGTGCGATGGGTGTAGTTTTATAGGATGTTGCTTATATTATCCTGTCGTTGATGAGACCGAGTTGATCAGTCTCTATTGGTATATTGGCCTCTGCACGGATGGCCCTTTACTGCTTGTATGCTCGGTCCTGATATTAGTGATAGATAGCAACTAGCAGTGGAATCCAGGACGTGCGTTTCGTTCTATTTAGGACTCGTCATCCAAATGTAACTCTCCTAGTGAGCGATATTGTTCCCACTAAGACTCAAACAAGCAACATCATATACCAACTAGTAGAGTTTAGTTAGGTTTTAAAAAATAAATTCACTTTCCTATTTATTGTTGTAAGTACATGTAAGTTGTATTGTCTTTTTCTAGTTTCAATTTTATCTTTCACGATCTGGACTTTTTTAAGAGTTTTTGGAAACTGTCGTCATTTCCCAGACAGATTAGATGTCGTACTCCAATTCTTGTTTTCTAAGACATTTAACACACCGTAGTTTGGATTCACTATGTGTATAGCCGAGTTCCTCGTATGTACTATCCACTAGTCGTTCACGGTGTTCGTTGGCATTGAGACGGAGACGAATGCCGACACACTCACTAAATCGATGATTGTGCGAAATCTGACACCAGACGTTGTAGTCTGACGATAAGCTCCATATAAAAAGTTTATTGTGGCGCAATGACCAAAAATCAAAATAAGTAAGGTTTTGAAATCCCCTTTTCTATAATAATCCAAATTGAACTGATTGACGTGTACAAGCATCCAACAAATAATGTCTCTTGATCAAGATGTGACTCTCATGACTCAGTAGTCTAGTGGACAACGCTCTGGAGTTTGGAGAGATGGCTACTGAGTTCGCTTCCGAATGGGAACACCACTGCTCAATGTGGTACAGATACATTCAACTGATGAGTTTGAGATAGGATGGAGCCACCAACTAGCAAAGTACATCGAACTGGAGACAAAATCCGAATGTCTGTTGAGCACACCTATGTGCCAACAGACCAGTCAATTCGGTCTATTAAAATAATCCTCTGGAAGTAATAAGTATAGATTAATAAAAAATGATATCCGCTGAACAATACTCGGTTCTCAAGACTGTAGCCCAGTAGTTAATCCTTTTATGTTTGAAAGAATGGATACTGGGTACGAACCCTAACACAGAAGTGTGTACGTTCAACTGATGAATCTCAGCTGGGACGTAGTACGTGTTTCATATATCCACTTGCTAGTCACAACCAAACAAAGCCGCGATGTGACTATAGACAATAAGGAGCTAGTAGTACGATGAACCCATAAATTCATGGTGATTGAAGAATCCAGTTCCTTAAGTCAGTGTCGAAAATTTTTCGATAACAACAGGAGTCTTTGGCTAATAAATCTTGGGTACTGTTAGATCTAGGCAGATTTAAACAAACTGGTCGTATAATATCTATCCTCAGTTGTAATATATACACTAATAACATTTTAATTGTGTACTTTTAATTGTTGATTAACATTGTTTTCAAGTTGTTTTATGCACCCGTTTATTTGTATACTAGTTTATTATCACAGATAATTGAGTTCATTTTTATTTAATATTTTATGCTGATAGTTATGTAGGCGCTAATTTCAACTTTTTCATCTGGAATAACTTTTTTGATAGTGATGATGAATAGTGGCCAGCGGTTATATCCAGAACGCGCGTATCGTTCCATTTGATGGGATGTACGAGCCTCCCACCGTATTGTTTTTTTGACTGCAACCCGACTGATAGCTATCGTTTTGATGTAGTGATTGAACTTGTATATCATAATGACCCAACTAGCTATTCTGGTGA